ACGATGGGTGATGCTTAGTGAGGAAGGTGCACTGTGCTGGGAGGGTCCGCTCAGGTGTTACTAATGCCATTGACAGGTTTGTTTTTGTTATATCTATGCTCTGTATTAGCTTGATGCTGAACAGACGATCTGGTATATCACAGTCATGATCAAAATGAGATTTCACAATGAAAACGCATTGGCTTATCATTAAGGGGTGGGGATCCCAATTCACAATACAAAAGATATACAATTGACAGGGTTTTAGGATTACGTTATAAAGGTCTCGCTGAATCCAAGCTGATTCACTGACACAATAAAGAATAGAAAAAAAAGGCCAAGGAAAAAATGGTAGCAAATTAACGAGTTGATAGACCTTGTTATAGTCTGAGTGCCTTGTTAACGTTTGGGTTGAGAACAGGAAGATGCGTTTCTGTGCATAAACGAAGTAGCTTTTCTTTGGTTTCTGTGTGCATGTAGTGTTGTTGGTGAAAAAGGAGAAAATAGAGATAATGACAATGTTGATTAGTTCATGTTTGTTGTGAAGCTCTAGTCATTTGATATCCTCAGCTACAGCATGTTCGTTTGATTTCGCTATTGATTTTATAGCAACAATATAGTTCATTATATTTACTTCGTTTTCCTTTCCTATTATAAAACTGAAGGAAGGGATTTGATACATTTGCTAATTCAGAACCAACGAAGATCTACGTAGGAGCACTGATTCTTATGCCTTTGCAATGCTTGCCGTTTTCGTTGTTATAAGCATTACTACTGTTACTGCTGCCCTTGTTGCAACCACTCCTGAGTTTGACGGTGTTATTCTTATCACCATCGTCATCACTATAGAAATGATGATAGTAATTATGTAATAGCAAAGATAATAGCTTGATTATGAAAGTGTTATATGATAGTAACTGTGATAAGGATGATATTGATCTTCTTAATTATAGTGATGATAGTAATGATAGAAATAATGAAATAATAATAGTAGTAGCAACAATAATGGCCATGATAATGAAAATTATAATAACAACAATGATGGTAGCATAGATAATGATAATGAATAATGGATATCATTGTTAACATCACTGACATGATCTTCAAACATCATTATTATGATTATCATTAAACTATGACTAACATCATTATTATGATTATAATTAAAACTATTACTAACATCATTATTGTTATCATTACTGATATTCTTATGGTTATTACGAATGTCATTATCATAGCAGCCGTTGTAAAAAAAGGTGCATATGTGAATGAATATCCTCACAGTGTAAGATGTCAGCGGAACATCTCTTGCGCTGTGAAGAGGTTCTTTCTCATTCATACCTTTTTCTACATTTGTCGTAATATGCACCGTTCATAACAGTTGTTATTATTGTGATTATTACTATAATCTTTACCACTATTTCTAGTACTAATACCAACTTCAGTCTTAGTATCACAACAATTACTAACAGCATCATCATCATCATTACTATCATCATTACTATCTTTATTGTTATTATTATCATTACTGTCATCATTATTATTGTGATAATCATTACTATTATTGGTATTATATCTACGTTTATTATTATTGTTATCATTACCATTATTATTGTCATTCTTATTCTTATAGTGATGATAATAATGGTAATGATAGTAATAATGATAATAATAACAATAATGGTAACAACAACAACAATAATAATGGTAATAATAATAATGAAAATAAAATAATAATGTTAATAATGATAATAATAATGATAATAATAAGAACAACAACAACTACTATTATTTTCTATTATCATTATTATTATCATTGCTATTATTACCATCATCTTTTTAATTATCAATATCATTATCATTATTATTATTATCGTTATCAATATTATGGTCTCTATTATTACTAATATCATTATCGTTGTTATGATGGTTATATTCATTATTACTATCATCATTATCATTGTTAGTATTATTATTTGTTTATAATGACAATGATAATCATTATTATTGTTACTATTATTATGATTATTGTTATTATCATTA